ATATGTTGATAGCACGAGTGGTTTCTCCATCCCGTGGGGAATGGGAGCCGCCATGATCTCCCGAGACAACGGGGTTCTATAGTCGTCTTCATCGCTGAGGATCGGGGACGTAGGGGGCGAGGGTCCATTTCGAGGAGGAGGTTGGTTCCGCACCTTCGGTTGCCTGACCAGGGCCTCGGGTCTCCCTGTCCTCAGCTCCTGAGAGCGTCGATCCTTCCTGGTCGGAGATCTTGCTTGCTTCTTGGAGACCACAGGTTGGGGTCTCTCCAGTTGTGGTCGGCGCCCCCGCGGTTGGGGAAAGGGGCTCCGAGAGTTCCCGCACTGATTTCTCCATAGAGGAGAGCTTGATGAGGTGTTGTGTTCCAGCGTGCCGATGCAATCGTTCTGCTAGAACAACATCTGGTTCGTCTGGTTGATGGCCGCGAAGAGGGCGACCATCATCGGGTCCGCACCGGCCGGAGTGGATATAGGCTGAAACACTGTCGGGCTCCTTACCCGAGGAACGACATGGTGTGGCGCGTCCTCGAAGGAAGGGGAGGCGGTATGGCCATCCTTGACGTCGGTCTCGCGAAGTTGAGATGTCCCCCCTGACCGTCGCCGTTGGTGACAGAGACAAATGTAGAGTTGTGGACAGCGTCGTCATGGCGTAGGCTAGTCATGACCCTGAAGTTTTGAGAGATGAAGCTTTGGTTCTCTGTTCGGAGGAACGGGGAAGCTTAGTTTCCCACAAACGACGCCACTGATCTGACCTGATCAGAAGGAAGTCAGTGACCTGCCACACGCCGTTGATCTGCTGCCTGTTCACCGGAAGTATGGAAGAGGAAGGGGGGTATACCTGCAAGACACTCCGATGCCAAAATGAGAAAGGACCAGAGTGAAGCAAATACAGAGAGAAGGTGTAGAGAATTGAATACCTGACCCTTTTGCGATAAAGGGTATTTATAGAGAGACCCCAGCGCAGGGCCAACGGTCACTTGTGTCGGGCTGGATTGTCAGACCCAACCCAGGTGACTGCTAGGGCTTATGTGGCGTAGTGAAGACCAGCACGTGGTCTTCGCCCTAGTTCAACCGTCCCGTGATCTCTGGAAGGTGGGTTGACCAACTCTTGCAGAGGTGGGTAGTTGGATGAAGACGTGTCCCCGCGGAGGGGAGCACGTGGAGAACGTGTGGAGGACACGTTGTTCTGCTCGAAAGAGGGAGGTTCTGCCCGCCGAGGGCAGCGTCTGGTCGACGGGGACCCTTGTGCTCGACATAGGTGATATGGGCCCGCTTGGGCCTTCCCGGTCAAACCGGGGCCCAGACCAGAACAATTCTAAAACCGTTTAAATCAATTTATTTAGTGTCTTTTTTTGTTCCAACATGCATTGTTGGGTATATGGTGTTGCATGTTTCATTCTTAGTGGACTGATGTGATACTCTCTAAATCTTGGAATACTTAAGAGCCTTTCCTCCAACAGGGAACTTCTTTGTGAATTAAAAACTGTAATAACATCATAAGTTGCAGAATCACACTTTTACGTAGATGTTGTTATAATGTTTGTCATTTTTCGCCGTCATGCTTCGTTTTTGTTCCTATTGCTTCTTCGGGAAGTAAAATATTGCCAGACAAATTACGAAGCGTAACTTAGCATTTAATTTACTCATTTACGCATTTTTATCGTAAACTGTCGTAAATAGGTTAGCATTTCATTTACTCATTTACACATTCTTGTCGAGTATATAGTAATTTTAGTTCTTGAATGTGAGACAATGCCGTTTTTACAACTTTTAACTTTTGTTTCTTATAAATGGAAGACTTACACTGTTGAACTAGAGGTTAAAGTTTCAAAACTTAAAGAAGTAAACGAGGAATTACAAAGAAAACATGTATGTTATGTTGTCATTTTGCATGAAAAACTCGTCAATAATTTGTTCGCCGAGGTTTTGGCAGTCTTTAACGACATTTGATATGATGCAAACATAGTTTATGGAAATACAAAAAGTAAGGAGGATCTGCTACAGATAAATAAAATAAGATGCTTGAGAAGGACGCTTACATGTCCATGGTAAATTACGTGAGTTAGTTGAAAACTTGTAGCAATAAAGACATTGTTATGTCATAAGGAGATGGGTTATACATGTAAAGTGACAGATTCAGAATTTTTAGTTAGAGGAGGCAAAATCTATATACCATTATATATATTTATAGAAAGATATATTAATATTAAAATAATAAATTATTGTGTATAAAAGTTTAAAATATCAATTTTTATTTTATTTTATGTCTGAAAAATAAAAAATACTTAAATATATATAAAAAAAATTTAACGTGTTATTATATTTTGAAATTATTGAATAATTTTTCTTTTATTTTTGTTTTTACCATGTAACAAAACAACCATTCAATAATTTATTTATACTTAGTTCTTTAATGTGGGAGCATTAATTGTGTTTCATTGTCTGAAAAATAAACTTTTAAAAATAATTTACAATAAAATAAGTAATTTGGTGGAGACAGTTGTCCCTAATATCATATATATATATATATATATATATATATATATATATATATATATATATATATATATATATATATATATATATATATATATATATATATATATATATATATATGTATGTAGTTCCGTCCTTGATAAAATGTGAAGTAATTATAGTTTAAGAGTAGATAAGATTGTTGCTTTTATGAAGAGAAAAAAAAAATATTGTCTGGACATAAAAAAACAACAATTTTATTTACTGTAAAATGTAATTACTTCACACCTTATATGAATAGCTGATCTCTTTATGACATATCGATGTCTTCATTCCTACAAGCTTCCAAGTAACTTCTATAATCTACCATGGACATAGTATATTTGCTACTAATTCAGTTTAATGCACTTTAATGGATAATTTTTTTAGCATATATAATAGAATGATTGATATAGAATAATTATATTTAAGTGTTTTTAATTATATTACAATATATTTATGTATACCCTACACTATAGCTCTACTTAAAGAATAAATTACCGTTACATTTTGACATTAAAACTATTACTAAATTTATGTATACCCTACACTAAATCATTGACTACAAAGTAAATATATGTTAAGTTTGTATACAATTAATAAAATATAATTTTTTAAGAGAAATGTTAACGAGTGCCTTCAGGACATTAGTTAAGAGATTAAAATGGTAAGTTAGACATTATTTAAAAGATTAAAAATACATTTTTTTTAAAATATATGTGTATTCAATGTCCTGAAAAGAAAAATAATCAGACTTTTTAAAGAATATTGTGTGTATTGAGTGAATAAAATATAACATATTTTCCTTATTTGAAATTCTTAACTAGTGCTCTGTGAACACGGGTTAACATGACCCTTTATTTATCGGGGATGTTTTTATATTTTTATTTAATTTTATATATTTAACTCTTAATTTGTAATTTAGGACACAAATTAATATTAGTCATAAATTAAATATTTGATCTCTTCATTTTTTACAAAAGCTTTTCTAACACACATGTTTTGAATTAAAAATAGTATATTTCATGTGTAATCAGATTCTATTTGAATGATTATTTCTATATAATTTAATTTATATAATTATTTTTTTAAGAATGACATATTTAAATTATTTATTTTATATATAAAAATGTATACAATATTATTATATCCTGTATTATAAATACATTTTACCTTCTTAAATTTATTAAATATTTAATCTCGTCATTTTTTATAAAAGCTTTTTATGTTTTGAATTAAAAATAGTATATTTCATGTGTAATTATATTTTTATTTGAATGATTATTTTTATATAATTTAATTTATATAATCATTTCTTTAAGAATGACATATTTAAATTACTTATTTTATATATAAAAATGTATATAATATTATTATATACTGTATTATAAATACATTTTACCTTTTTAAATTTATTAAATAATTATTGTATATGGCCTATATATAGATCAAATATATAAATTATTAAATAAATTTAAAAAAATGAATTTTACTTTTAATATATAACAAAAAAAACATATGTCAATTAAAATTAATAAATCCCTTTATTAATTTATTACAAAATAATAACATTATCAATAGGGTTCATATCTAACAAAAACTGTTTTAATTAGAGCCCTTAAAAATATCATATCTAACAGAAATAGCTAATAAAAATATGGAATATGGAAGAGTTGTCAAAGCCATTTATCCAAAACTTTGTGATAATCAAAATGTATGTTAGTGATTTTACACAATTCAATGTACTCAATATTAAAAAATTATTGTAAAAAAACTTTAATTAACCAAGTTTTATTTTACCACCTTAGTTAACCCAATCAAAGCTTGTAAAAATGGAAGAAATCCATTTTAAGTATAAAATCAAATAAAGCAATACACACTTTAAAAAGAATAACAATTAACAAATAATTAACCCGTTTAAATTTGAATTCAAAAACGGTAAACAAAAACCTTTCCCGGTTAATCATCATTCATCATTTTACAATTTAAAAAAAAAAAATTCATTGAATCATTTTTGAAATGAAAGTAAATAAACAAAGCGTGCATACGGGATTCGAAAATTATATCAACCCATTGCACGTGCGAGATGTGTGGGTCCCACACCATTAGTATCTATCTATCTACTCTTTAAATTTTCAAAATTTTCGGATAATTTATTTTCTATAAAATATTTGACCAGAAATATTCTGATTAAGGAAAAAAGATGATATAAAAAAAAAAAAAAGGAAAAAAGAAAAATATGGCATAATTTAAATTTAAAATTTCTGTATTTATTAAAATTCTACAAAAACGAAAATGTACTTTGAATGTGTACAACTGGGCTAGGGTTCCTATCCTTCCCAGAAACGGTGCCTTCTTCAAATACAACAAGTGTTCGTTTTATTCTTCTATAAAACTCTGCGTTTTGCAACCGGTAAACGGCGCTTACAACTCTCGTCGTTTCGCGTTTTGGATTATAACTGTTTCTCTCTCTGGTTCGAGGGTTCAAGATGGACGATACAGTGCTTGATGATATCATTCGGAAGCTTGTATCAGCGAAGAACGGTAGAACGACGAAGCAAGTGAATCTTACGGAGGCTGATATTCGTCAGCTTTGTACTTCCGCGAAGGAGATTTTTCTCAGTCAACCTAATCTTCTTGAGCTTGAAGCTCCTATCAAAATCTGTGGTATATTGTATTTATTGTTCGTTATTATTGATTTCAGTTTGTGATATATGATCTTTGATGTTTACTGGTTATATTGATTGGCTGTGATTTTTGATGTTAGAGTTAGGGGATTGACTTGAATGAAGAAAATGGGACTGTGAAATGGTGTGTGGTTCTGTTAATTGATTATTGTTCTTATTTAGTGAATGTTTAGGTTTGATTATGTAGTTGTATCTTTTGGAAGTTCTTTTGTGAGTTGAGTTGAGTTCTTCTGTTTGGGATTTTAGTTAGGGTTTGGTTGGTTTTCTTGGGACAGAGGGAAGTGTGATGATGATGATGATTAAATTGCTTGAGCTGAATTATTTACTCTTCATGTTTCTGTTATTATTTTGTGGCAAGTATGAAGAGTTTATTTGAATGTATGAAGTTCATATTATGAACTCTTTGGACGTGTTCTTGATAGTTGTAATAGTCTATACTTTTTTTTTTAAACTCAAATGAACATTTAACTAGTTGCATTGGATAATTTCAGATTAGTTTCTTGTATAACTATCCGTGCTTCAATATTGCCAATAGGGTGAGTAGTTTATGGTAATTTATGCCAGCTCCCCCTATGTCAGAAACACTGTCTTCTGGTGTTTTTTGTTTGTTTACGCCAGCCCCTTTGGCATGTTGACATTTGTATGGTATTCAGTTTAAATCAGTGTTGTCAAATAACGGTGCTATAGCTTGGCAGAATCTGAACAAACCTCTATTGTTCTGCAGTACACTATTTAGTACAAAGTGTTGTTAAATAGCGGCTATAGTGTGCCAAAGCACTGTAGCATAGCGAAATTTGAACAAGCCGCTATATTTCCGCGAGTTGCGATTGACAACATTGGTTTAAATGGTCAATAATCATAAACATCTTAAAAGCCCACTTATCTAACTTGGTAACTAATGAGTTTTATTTTTAGGGCTGCAGTGGTAGATTCCACATTTATTTTGTTTGTAAAGTTTAATGCATGTTTGATTTGACGTTTGCAATGTTGCAAGTCATGGTTGGAGCATAACTTGTGGTTGCTGGTTTGGGAGTTCCAAATGCCAAATCTTACACACTCTTAGACTTTAGAACCTATTGTGAACTTATCGGTGTGTTTTCTCACTTAAAGCTTTTCTGTTTTATTAAAAATATGGATGCTATTCTTAGACCTTGAGTAGTTTGTTTGTGGAAAAAAATATATTAAAATTGTCCAACATTTCCTACTAATTTGATTGCCTTGTTTCATTCAGTTGTGTGGTTTTTCCTTCTGGTATCTGTTATCAGTTAGTGCTAAGTAGTGTATGACCATTGTTTAAACAATTCATTTGCAGGAGACGTCCACGGCCAGTATTCAGATCTTTTAAGACTGTTTGAATATGGGGGATACCCACCTGAAGCCAATTATTTATTTCTTGGTGATTATGTTGATCGTGGTAAGCAGAGCATAGAGACAATATGCTTACTCCTTGCATACAAAATCAAATACAAGGAAAACTTCTTTCTACTCAGGGGTAACCATGAATGTGCCTCCATCAATCGCATATATGGTTTCTATGATGAGTGCAAGAGGAGGTTCAATGTCCGCCTCTGGAAGACATTTACTGATTGTTTTAACTGTTTACCGGTTGCTGCTCTAGTTGATGAGAAGATCCTTTGTATGCATGGTGGTCTCTCTCCCGAACTTAAAAACTTAGATCAGATACGGAATATTGCTCGCCCTATTGATGTGCCAGATCATGGCCTTCTCTGTGACCTTCTGTGGGCTGATCCCGATAAAGATCTTGAGGGATGGGGAGAAAATGATCGAGGCGTGTCATTCACATTTGGGGCTGATAAGGTTGCTGAGTTTCTTGAGCACCATGATCTTGATCTGATTTGTAGAGCTCACCAGGTAATAAAACATGTAGTTTGGTTGATTTCGATGATTTAAAGTTTCTTCTGGATTGACCACCCATGGTTATAAATAGTATATACTTCGCTTATACAATAGGTTGGGCATACACACAATAAGTTTTCAATTTACTGACTATTACTCACCGATTTTTAAAAGTAAGCCTGTTCTTAGGGTTTAAGACAAACAATTAATTACTATTGTAAAAAGTCTTGAGAGTATACGATGTTTAATGCATCATGAACATGAATGCACACTGGTTTTCTCGTGGCTTCCCTTTTCCTCTCTGCACTAACTTCAACACCTTGCGAGTCATGAATAGGGGGTCATTCCTCTTTGTGTTTAATCGACGATCCTTTGTTTAACTACCTTTTTGTTTTGCAGATGTGCTTTTATATTGTATTACATCTCTGTCTGTCTGTGCTGATGTTTTGGGCTTTAGCTTGGCTTGGGGGTCTAGATTCTTTTTGATTAATCAGTAAATCTGATCTGATGTTTCCTTTTAAAATGTTGGGTGCTGTGTCTCAGGTTGTAGAAGATGGATATGAGTTTTTTGCCAAACGTAAGCTGGTGACTATATTCTCTGCACCAAATTACTGTGGTGAGTTTGATAACGCCGGTGCTATGATGAGTGTGGATGACACATTGACATGCTCTTTCCAGATACTCAAGTCTTCCGATAAGAAGGGGAAAGGCGGGTTTGGCAATAACACATCAAGACCTGGTACTCCACCTCATAAGGTAAAAAAATAGAAATTGTTATGCATGCACTTGTTTATTAAAGCTTGTATTTTTCCATTTATACGTGTATGGGGGTCTATGTATTGTATGTTTAAATGCGAATATGTCACAAACTTGAGTTATAATCAAAGAAGTCAAAAGTTTCATAACATCTAGTATCAGTAAATATGAAGTTTGATATCATCTAAGTTGGCTATTGCATTTATGATGATATGCCTGATTTTATGTGGATTTATACATTTTAAGTACAAAAGCATAACATTGATAATCCAAAGTGCATTGCTCTAAAATAATATCTTGGGTGAGATCCTATGGTTTCAAGTTAAGACAATGTTAAAATCCATTTATGGTGTGCTCATTAAAGCTACGTGTCCAAAAGAGATGCAGCATATGTTTGGGCACACTTTTTCCATGGTCCAAAACCATGTCAAGCCAAAAGCTACCAAATGTAGCTATATAACTAAAAGCACATCTAGTGACACCCAATAGGTTTTCCAAGCAAAGTAAGCCTCCTGGGTCCACAGACCCAATTCACAAGTATACTTGACTGCAAGAAAGAAATGGCTATGCATTTTGTGGCAATTCTCTTTACGATGTTTAGGGATGCTAATCCTCATTTGTTCCCCTTAAAGTTTACTGGCGGATAGAGTCAGAGAAGTCACCTCTTATGTTATAAGTGTTAGCTAAAATTTTTAGGACTTCATTTAGTTCCTTTATAGGATCTATTTGAATTGATTTATTTGAACTTGTCTCTTTTGAGATTGCTACAATTTGTTTTGAAATTTAATTAGTTATGGCATGTTACCTATTTTGTTTCAGGGTGGGAAGGCTTAATTAACACTCTCGAGCTATGTACTATAAAGTCAGTGAGCTGGATGATGGCTTTCATTCTCAACATAGGTTAAAGGCTTATCTTTGTGCTGCCTGTCATGATTGATGATTCAAAAGATATAATTGCATTTTGCCTGCTTTCTCTGGCAACGATAAGTAGTATGGCAGGGACATGGCACATTTTATTGTGCAACTCCGATTGACCCCCCTTCCTTTTGTTTTTTCTTTTTATAGTTTTTTCTTCTTATTCTTATTATTATTAATGTACAATGGATTTTCAAACTCCATAAGGGGTAATCTTCAATATCTTGTTATGGTGTTGCTGAAATTTTATCATATGATTGCATCAACTTCATAGTGTGACATGATATACTCTCAAGAAAGTAGGAATGCTCAAATTAACTGGTTGTTTGGATTATTCATATCCACGGTCAGTTATTAAAAATTGATTAATTATTAAGATGGTTTAAATCAAATCCATATATTTGAATAGAGTATTAGTATGGGTTTAATCAAAATCATATTTTGGAATCCATATCAAAATAAAAACCAAATTACTTAGCATTTTTTAAAATCACAATAAAAAAGTTTGGACATTATAAAAAAAAATAATTTACAAAAAATATTAATTTTTATTTTATTTTTGAAAATTAAAGAAAAATAATTTTTTCAAAAAACAAAATATAAGAATTTTTTACTTAGGGAAAACAATTCTTTTCTGAAATATATAAAAAATGATTATTTTTCTTTTGTTTTGTTTTTGGAAATAATCAATTTGATATAATTAAAAACATTTATGTCAACCTAAAAGCAAGAAGTATTAAGATTCTATGAAAATCTCCTTGGAAAAAATTGGTAAGACTATTAAAGTTGAAAGGAATACACTGAGTAGAGAAATAGGGAAGTATGCAGAACTTCGTGTCCAAGTTGATTTCACTAAACCTCTGCCTGCGATGTTTGCAATCAAAGGAAGACATTACAAGATTGAGTATGAAGGCCTTCATTTACTCTGCTTGAGTTGTGGAAGGTGTAAACACTCAAAAGAAAGTTGTGGTGATCAAATAGTTACAAAAATTCAATAAGCTCCGAAGCCATGGAAAACAATACACGTAGTGGAAAGGAAGAGCTGATCAATAATACTAAAGCAGGCGGTCCTTGGACTTTGGTTTATAAAACAAGTAAAGGAAAAGAAAATATGCCACAAAAAATGGCGGCAACGGGGGTTCAGAGAAATAGGTAAATGGAGCTCTAGTCAATTTCAAGGACATTAAAGCCATAGCGAGAAACAAGTGATCTCGTTTTAATATGCTTAATGATGGAAGTGTGTTTGAGGAACAAGAAGTACTAATGGGGAAATATCCAAAAATAATAATGAAATAATCATGGAGAATAATGATTTGATAAGTGTTAATAATGATGTGATAAGTGTTGATACAAACTACAAAATCTTGCTTTGGAATTGTAGAGGTGTAGCGAGTAAATCCTTTGCTCGTGTTTGTCAACACTATATGAAGCAGACTCGGCCAAATATTTTCATTTTTTATGGAGACTAGAGTAACATCTGATAATTTAACTCCTACTCTTGAGAGATTAAGGTTTGATAAGTTTGTGGTATCCGAAGCTAGTCGTTTTTCAGGAGGGATTGTTATGGCGTGGAAGTCGGAGAAAGTGAATGTGGATGTTATCTACACTTATTTTCAGTTCTTACATATTAATTTGAAGTTTAGTGGTGGGGAAGAGTTTCTCTTTACTCATGTATATGCTAGTCCAAGAGAAGAAAGGCACAAGGATTTATGGGTGGAGCTGCATCAGTTGTCTTAGAATATAACACAAGGTTGGCTTCTCGGTGGTGATTTTAAAGACATCTTGTGTGCATATGAAAAAAGGGGAGGAGCTAAAGATTATAACAAGAAATGTAAATTGTTTAGGGAGAGGATGAGTTCCTATAATTTAATGAATTTGGGATCTTTTAGGCACCGTTATACTTGGAGGGCCCCATCTATTGACACGCCGCAAGTGTACGACTATGTGAAGTAGTAAAAGATTATTGAACCACAAGGGCCAATTGTTTAAGTATCGAATTCTGTTTGATCGATATATATCCAGAGAAATCAATAATTTGGGGTTTTGCAAAATCAACTTAAATAAAAAGCACATATCACTTAAATTACAATGGAGACAAACAAGACTTAGGGTCATGATTCTCACTCTGACACATTTGTATGATCCATGTCACTTCTATTACAAGAGTCTTGACATAATTTATAAAAAACAAATAAATAAGGACAACATCAGCTTTTGCCAGCATGTTTTCTTATCAATGATGAATAATTCATTGGCTTTTACTCGACCATGTTATACGTCAAGGATCCATCACCTTTGCTCAACTATAAAATTTGGAACTTTGTCAAATTCATCTAAGCACTTTTGTTGTATTGGACATGTTTGTTTTAAAACCCGCGCTCCAGTATTGATACATATCCTTTCAGGCTATGATCGGTACCTGAGAACACTTTACTTTTGTACAAGGGTTGAAATTCATGGACATAATTATTAAAATAAATTTGTACAAAGGACTATTGTAATCGACTTGTGACAGATCATTCAAATGGTCATAAGATGATCTCCATAACCTCTAGTCTCTAATGAAATACTCACTCATAGGGAGGAAAAACACAATCAAATCGATATTTATAATTGAATTCTTGATAAAAAAAATGAATTAAATAATAGATTGTAATGAAAACAAATAAAAAAACTTGAATTGATAAGCTTTAATCAAATTCTCTGATGGAGACTTGAGTGCAGAGACAAATAGATTACGTAGAAACTTCAGAAAAATAAACTTTGATCGCTAAACTTACAACTAACTATGAGCTTTATAGAAAAACCTAAACTTTTATGAAATCTCATTGTTCAATGGTAATTTCATAAGAAAATATCACATATAAACATGCAAAATACCAAAAACACGTGAAGTCAGTCTAAAAAAGAAAAAAAAATCAAAACATGTCTCGCCCTCCTACTATGACCCATAGTAGCTGCTACGGATGGCCGTAGCATGCCTCTTCTTTTCGTACGAGAACATCAAAATAGAGGAAGCCCTAGGCCCTTGTTGTTACGACCTGTAGCAGCTGCTACGGGTGGCTGTAGCAGCCCTCTGGATTTTGTATGAGGATTCTCTGACTTTTGACGTTTTTCCGCACTCTGCTCATTTTTGATCCTTTTTTACCTCGAACAGTTATTGGACCATGAAAGTAGTAAAAACATACTACTAAAGCATAAACTACGATAAACAAAAACAAATTGAACAAAAAGTGATAAAAATGCTAAATAAAAATGGTATGAAAACGACTTATCATCTATCAAGGAGGAGTTCGAATATACAAAAGACTTGACAGAGCAATGTGTAACGATATCTAGAGGTTGCAATTTCCTGATTCATCTATCAAAGGGCTAACGAGGATGGATTTTTTGGACCACCATCAAATTCTCATCTCGCTCAAAGAAGAGAATAACTACAGAAGGATTAGAAGGTTTCATTTTGAAAGTGAGTGGCTCCTAGAGGAAAACAAGGATAATTGTGATGTCACTACGAGTTTGAAGGCTTTAAAATCCCAGATTGCGAGTTGGAAGAATTTTATAGTACCTCAAACTCAGAAGCAAAAAAGATCATTCTTGGTTGAAATAGGGGTATTCAGAAAGCCTTTCATGAGGGAATGGGACATGTATGTCTCACTGATTTGGAGTTTAGGTTGCAGAAAGATTTGAAAAATAATCTGCATCAAGAAGAGCAACTTTGGTTCCAAAGGTCCCGTGAAAAATGGATTGTTAATGGAGATAGGAACACTCAATATTACTACATCAAAGCAATTCAGCATAGGCGAAGGAATAAAATCACGATGATAAAAAAATATGGAGGTGATTGGATTGATGATCCTAGTCAGGTTCTGTCGCGGTGAAGAATCAGAGACTATAACTATTAGTTAGTGTAGCACCCTAAAATTTGCCTTATCTTTTTCTTATCTACTGGCTTATGTTTCTCTACATTTCGTATTTTTTCATATCATGTCATTGGCTCTTGAGACATGGGATCAATGTGTTTCTATGGCTCAAGGTCTTCTTTTATTGCAAGGTTTTAAGCAGCAAAAGTCAAAGGCTTTGGCATTTATTTTTCCCAGCAATCGAGTGCCCGATTTTATTTTATTCAGCGAGTTATTTCTAGCGCAGGAGACAGTTCACCGGTTATCTCAGGTATTTTTACAGGTGCAATATTAAAAGGCAAGTTTCAGAGGCTTAACATGGCTCAGAACGGGTGGAAACAGACGATTATGCAAGTTTCCCTTCAAATGACGCAAATTTTCAAATTTATGAAGGGTTAATCGATTAACTCATTTGCACTAGCAAATGGTTAATCGATTAACCAAAGCAATTTTTGCCCAGATACGTGCATTTTCAATGCTTCCACTTTTGGGATCCATTTTGATCATTTGTGAATTAGTTTTTGCATCAGTAGAAGGATCTAGAATCACTCCAATTTTGATTTACTTTCAAAACCAATCCAATTTCCCTCCAAATTTCCATTCCTAATCCCATTCCAATTTTCAAACCCTCAATCCAAACCACAATTTTACTCCTAACCAAAAGCATATTTAATCCAATTCACTCTAAACGTCACCCAATGACACTCAAGAACCCTTCATTTTTCTGATTTCTCTACACATTGCTCTCAAATTCTCCCAACTTTCTTCTCAATTCCCTCACACTCCAAACCTCCATTAGAGCTCTTTCACTTGAATTCTTTGATTTTCATTGGAATCCTTGAAATCTAGAGCTTAACCTTCATCACTCATCTCCATCAACTTCCATTCATCATTTGATTTTCTTTTGAATCTAGATCTGGTGTTGGAAGCAACCTTTTAAGTGATTATTGGTTCAACTTTTGCTTATTTGGCTCATTCTTCACTTCTCTTGCAAGAAATCTCTTAGATCTTGAAGTTTTCCTGGGTTTCTAGCTTGGATCTATCGTTTGCAGTATAACAACACTTACCAAAGCAAATCTCAGCTTTGAAGGTTGGTTAATTTTAGATCCACTTCTGTTTTGAGCTTATTTGGATAATAAAAATGTAGATCCTCAATTTTAATTGATTTTGATGATTTGATCTATGTGATTTGTGATCTCAATGCTTGGATAAGTTTGATTAATGTTTGATCACTGATTTTTGGTGTTAAATTCGTACATAATTGATTACGTGATCATTTGGATGATTGTATAATTGATTAATTGCTGGAAGTGCTTTTAAATTTCTGTTTTTCTGCTTCTGGTGCAGTGTTAATCGATTAACCAGTTGCAGTACAAAATTGGTTAATCGATTAACCAGTGTAAATTTCAGTACTTTTGGCTTTTCAAATAGGGTTAATCGATTAACCACTTTTGCACTGCAAATGGTTAATCAATTAACACTGGACCAGAATGCCATTTTTGATTGTTTTCAAGCATATTTTGTTTTCTTTCCACCTCTAATCTTCATGGATTGATATGATGTATTTATGTGGACTGTTTTTAACCTGTTTCATCATGCTTGATTGTTTGATTGCGATTCTTCGACGTGCGACTTTTAGTTTCCGTGGATAAATGCTTGAAATGGCCATGTTGTTGCTTGATGTGGTGATCATGTGCTTTGCTAATTTGTATCCTATAAATTGTTAATGGTTGATGATTGTCTTGTTGGACTTGCGATGCATGTTCGTATTTACTTCCAATTCCGTTTGTCGCATGATCGTTTAAATTGATTAATTGATGTGAATTGCATGATGTTCTTGTTGAATGCTTAATCATGTTCTTGTTGAACACTTGTGTTCAATTGTTAATGCATGTCCATCTTTGCTTGATACTTGTTCATGATTTATTCTTGTTCATGTTGATTGTGTTGAAGCATGCTTGCTGCCCTGTTTTCTACAGTTGTTCTGTTCTAAATTTACATGATGTTGTATATCATTCTTGCTTGTTGCCTGCCTTTTACACATGATTTTTATGCTGAATTAGTAGTTGTTAAATGTTGTTGTGCTGCCTTGCTGGATTCTATTGTTGTTTTATGCAGGAAGCGTTGTTGTAGCTATTGTTTTTGTCTTATTTTCTTGTTTTTGCATGCTTCCTTAGGGCTTCCTAATCCAACTTAATTTCTGATTAAACTTGGAGTAGGATAGACATTAGGAGTTTAATCCATGCATGATAACAATTAGGTTAGTCCTTTTTAACCTCAACTTTAGGTCCATTTTTTGCATGCTAACATTAGGATATAATTTCCTTTCACATCTCGATCTTAGGGCCACTTTGCATGACAATGTCAGGACCGAGTTTCCCTTAGACCTTTCGTGCGTTTTTCTCTCTTCTCATCTCAAAACAATTCTAACACACTTAATAAAGGCGATGAACATTGTGCGCCACGAGTCTTAAGCATATGAGAAAGATGAGTGAGGGGTCACCTCTCGCTTGTCTAGAGTGTTTAGCATACGTCCCGTCTGGGGGCGATATGCGACGCATTCGTTCCTATATTATAGTCTTTAGTGAGACGTTCAATTCACTTCACTAAAACTCACAAACAAACTTCAAACCTTTTGTCCTTCGGGATTTGTTCTTCAAATTCATTTTCAGGAAAGAGTATGTTACTTTTCCGTTCTACCGCAAACATGCATCCACCCTAACTGCTGTAATGGGAACTTAATGTCGCTCATAAAAAACACTTAACCAACTTGTGGTTTTGTTAGCTGAACTACGTTTGCTCTGATTTCTCATACTAGGTGAGGATACATAAGCATAA